CTATCACATCAGTATTAGTATGCCTCCCTTCAAGTTTCTTTATGGAAGGAAATGTTTGATCTTGATTTGTTGGAGTAAGGTCAGATAGCAAGTGACGGGGAGCACTAAGGTCGTGCTCAAGAATATGGAGATGATCCAGTAGGTGTGTGGTAAGCTATAGAATGCATAAAGCCATTAAAATATTTATGAGGATCGGATTGATTCTGATCTTGAGTTCTAGGTCAAGGATTTTGTGCTTTTGAAGGTATCTCCTTGGAAAGGTGTCATCTAGTTTAGGAAGCAGGGAAAGTTGGGTCCCAGGTACATTAGTCTGTTTAGAGTTGTTGCTCGGGTGGGCAAGGTTTCTTATCTGTTAGATCTACCTATGGAGCTTAGTTTGATCCATAACACCTTTCATGTTTCCCAACTGCAGAAGTTCTTAGTTGACAATTCCACAGTGGTACCTTTGGATGACCTAAAGATTCATGAGTGTCTGAATTATGTGTAGCGACCGCTTTCTATTATTAACATGAAGATGAAGGCCTTACACAACAAGATGGTGAATTTTGCTAAGGTGCAATTACAGCACCCGAAACGTTGTGAATGGACTTGGGAACCCAACAAGGAGTTGAGGGAGCATTACCCCGAGTTGTTTGTGGTAGTGGATTTTTAGGACGATGTTTGATTCAAGTGGGGGATAGTTGTAACATCTAAACTTCAGGTATTATTCTTTAAAGTTCTCTTGTGACTTCAAATTGATTTTGTGGATTTTGACCTTAACACAACATGGTATTCAGATCACCACGGTGTGGTAATGCCATCCTCACCATGACATGATGATTTAATGACCGCGTCGTGATGTCGCCTCCGCATAAAACCCTAAGTTTTGGGCTTTAGGTCCTATATAAAGGATATGATGGCTAGGTTTTCGTCAATCCTTAACCCGAATTGCTCTAGAAGAACCCCCCCCCCCCCACCTAAAAAAAATCAACACCTAGCCTCTTGTGATCATTTAGTGCTCATTTTCGAGATTTACGGCTTTAAAGGGAGAAGGAAGGTCTTGTAGATAAAGGGACCACAAAGCAAGCTAATCTCCAACTCTTTGTTCACATTTTGGATCTTTATAAGTCCCTCAAACCATCATCTTTGTAGTTGTCCCTTCTAAATCAAGATTGTTGAGTCCTATTCTTCATGTATGGGATGAATCTAGTGAATTATCTTGATAAAGTTTGCAACTTTATGGATCAATGAATTCCCAAGTCCTTTATATGGTTCAGATATGGACTTCTATATTGATTAGTTTTTCTGCATTATATTTTGTCCCTATTTTCATTCTTTTTTAACTAAGTAAGTGTGTAACATGCATTGGACATTCATATCCATGAATTTAGGATTTTTATGAATAACTTAGATGCAAAGAAGCCTTCTGGAAAGTTAGAATGGTTGGCTTGACACATTAAGGGCTTAATAGAGTTTTGGATCTGGTAGCATTGCCATGACGTAGTCAAGTGCTAACCACGATGTAGTGATCCAATCCCTTGTGATCTACTTGATCCTGACCACTGTGTGGTCAAGGTTCTTGCCACGACATGGTGGTCTAGAGAGTTGACTTTAACCTTTGACTGTTAAATTTTGACCAAGATTGACTTTTGATCAATTTTATAGTTTTATATGGTATATTGATGTATGACCTTTTAATTACAACTAAGTGGTACGTAGTGCCAGCCTTACATCCGACGAGCGGTCATGTAGTCTACTGTGATTTGTGATGTGAGTATTCTAACTATACTATATAGGAAACTAGGTGTCGTTTGTGATTATTGTCTTTATGAATATTAGTATTATGTCCGCATGAAAGACCATGGTTAAGCCCATAGAAAATGCAGGGGTGTTGTAAGACTATGATTTGTGCTGCAACATTCACTTGGGTTGAAAAAGACATGTTGGTTGAAACATGTCGTCACAAGAGTGATTGTAAGATTATGATTTGCCCTATAGCATTTAGTTGGGTTGACATAGACTCGTTGGCTTAAATAGGTCATATTGTTATGTATCTGGTTATGCATGGTATGTGGTACATTGGGAAACTCACTAAGCTTTGTGGTTACATGTTCAAGTTTAAATGTTTTAGGTATTTTTAATAGCAAGGGAAAAGAGTCAACGTTATTGCATTGCATCAACTGAATATTTCGCACTTCTGTTTTATGGCGCTCTCATGTTTGTTTTAAGAATACATTTTACATTTTGATTATCTTGATGGAATGAAATGAATGATTTTTACTTTATTATAAATGAAAATTTTCTTAGTATTTTGGGATGTTATATTGTCCTCATCAGAATTGGTCTCACGAACTACCTAAATAACAATTAGAGATCAAACCTCATACTACAATTCAATCCCTCAATGTTTAAGCAAAAGTTGAACTGGTAAAAAGTCAACAGTCAATGGATAACTGGTCAAAGTCAATAGACAACATTCAGCATGTCGTGACCCGCCTACTATTGTGTCTCCATCATATGGTAACAAAATAGTCACAAATTCCTTTCTAGAGGCGTTTCGCGATCACGTGGCGACAAAATAGTTGCTTTTTTCAATGTTGAATCCAATTTTGTTAAGCACTTAATCCTTCTAGACCAAGGGTTAAACTCTCATATATGAAAACCACAAGGGTCATAATGGATTAAGTTTCCAACTTTATCCAGATCCAAGGCTCACTCCCTCAAGCTAAATCTCAAACCCTAACTCTCATGAAGCTCGAAGTAGCCAAGAACTTGTGCATAGTTCAAAGGAAGCCAATGCACACATATTTTTCTACTCTCAAATATCCAGAAGACTATTCAATTCCTTCTAAGGTTTTGGAGTTACTCAAACTCCAAGAACATCAAGGTTAAATGTCCAAGAGGGACCAAAATCCTACCCAAATCCTAAATATAAGCATGAATTTGAATAAATCATGGATATTTAGGACTTAAAATGCTTAAGAAGTGTATACAAAGTAGAATCTCCCATTGGAAATGACTTCTCCAAGCACTATAAGCTTTCTTCCTCACCGAGGATCTCTTAAAACACCAAAATCACACAAGGAAGCACAAAGAGGGGTATGGTATGATATAAAAGGTAGAGGTGGGTACAGAGAGAACCCTCAAATGTTAGTGTCCTTATATAGGGCCAAAAGCCCAAAAACTAGGGTTTTTTGCAAAAGCAACATCACATCACAACCCTTACTTAGGCCGTGTTGTGCTTTGCAAATGTGGCATGCATCATAACATCTAAACATCTTGTCACACAATACCTAAAACCCTATTTTCCACAAATTTAAAAAAAAAAAAAAAAAAAAAAAAAAAAAACTTAACTAAGTGGGTGTTACACTTGCATCCAAGAAGATCATCATATCATCATATTTGGTATTCGCTAAAACTATATCCCCATTTATTTCAATGACACTTTACCACCCTCCATGATAATGAAGACCCAAATCTAACCTTACAAAACCCATCATGACAATAAAGACCAATTTTTTTTTCTTTACCTTCAAACTCCAACTCCAGTCTCTCTAATTTCTACCTCCTCGGTTTTATGGTTGTTACTTCTCCTTTGTCGTTGCTCCAGCTACATTTGACTAACCATCCTTGGTTATACCTCCTACGATAAAGATCAAACAACCTAGCTTACCCTCTGCTCTGACTACTTAAATCCACTATGGAATCCACAAGCATTATTCTCTTTCTCCACTCATCATAGGGTTACTCGTGCTGGTCACAACATCACAAAAAAAAAAAAAAAAAAAAAAAAAAAAAAAAAAAAAACACACTCAATCTCCATAATGGCTCAATTTTTCCCACTCTATTTAATTATTTATAGGATTTTCTTGATCATAATTGCCTTAATGTCATATGAAAGGAATATAATCCTCTAATAGAGTATGGGTAATTTTCTTTTGGCCCTCATATGATAACATTGTCAACTATATTTTAATATTTAAAAAATAAGCTCAATGTATATGGTTCTTTATCATGCTACAAGGATCGTCTTGTTTCTAATGTTCACACTCAACAATTTGGCCTTGACTACAACACAACATTCAATTATATGGTCAAAATGCCGTCATCTAAATGGTTCTCGATCTTAATGTTTCTCAATATTGGCCTTGACATGAAAAAGGATTTTTTCATGACCGGATTCAAGAAACAATGCAAATGTATTATTCACGTAGTTAGTGCTCCCTCTAAGGTATATGACTCTCTAACAAACAAGTATTGGGCTTATGAGTGAGAGAACCGGCCCTCTTGTCATCTATGCCGCATAGACTATGCGTATAAGGTGCTGTTTGTTTTTCTGAAGCCAAAATGTCTGCAATCTGCGGACCACATCTGCAAGCCTCTGCAGCAGAAGAGGTGGACCAAACGTCTGCAGTCTGCAATAAGAAGACTGTTTGTTTTTTAACGTCTGCAGGCTGCTGAAATAAACTGAAATTTAAATAAAATTATTTTACAAACTTAAAATGATTTTTCAACACCAAAATTTTAATAATAATAGTCTTATAACATTGAAAATAAAATTCATGCAACTAAATTAGTCATACAATAAAAAAAATGTTTTACAATAACAATTTCATTTAAAACAATTCAATGTATATTGTGCATCAACTGATCAGCAATTTCATCACGTAACTGAGTCATATATTCACGGTCTGCTGCAGTACCATGTGTTGGAATCTCGTCTTCATCATCATCAATGGCCACATTGTTATTTCGAAACGGGACATTGGGTTCATCGTATCGTGCGAAATACTCATCACTCAATCCTTCTTTCCTTATATAATTATGAAGCGCGAAGCATGCCATGGCAATGTTTCTTTGTGTCACAAACGGGAATGGTGCCATCCTCTTCAATATAGGGAAGCGTGCTTTCAAAACACCAAAAGCACGCTCAATGACATTTCGAAGTTTTGCATGTCCATGGTTAAATTTTTCTTTATTGGTCAATGCACGTCTTTGACGAAAATCTCCAAGCCAATACCTCACATTACGATAAGGGCCATAAATCCTCGAGTGTGTGCATACGCGGCATCACAAAGATAATATTTGTCTGAAAAAAATGCAAAACACTAATCAATTTTCAAATTAAAATGAAAATATTAAAAAAAAAAACAAAAAATTACCTGGTGGTGGAAACGGGAATGATGCTTGTGGATCGGCTACTGCTTCTGATAATATTCTAGAGTCATGCGCTACCCCTTCCCACCCGGTCACAACAAATGTAAAAATCATATTGAAGTCACATATTGCCAATACGTTTTGGTAGCAATCTCCCTTTCCCCTACTTCTATATAAGTCTTGTTTCTTAGCAGGGACAACAGCATGTATCAAAGTGCCATCAAGTGCACCAACTGCTCCTTTGAAAACCCTTCGTAGCCTCCTATTATGTCCTGGAATGTTTGGATTCGGATTAAAAGATGTTGGTACTATAACATCTTGTGCGAAAAGCATCATTTTTTCCAACACTTCATAAAAAAATTTATGAATTGTTTGCTTCGAGTGTTGAAATCTCCGCTTGATAATCACGTAACGTTGATTATGTCCGATCATCATCAAAAACATAGCCATCTTTTCCTCAACTGATACATGTTTGCTGTCCTTTAATGAGTAATTTGCTCTAAAATGAGCACATAGTCGTACAAAAGATTCACGGGACATGCGTAATACTTCAACACATTGTAAACGATTACGGTGTAATAACTCCAATGTGTATTCGTGTCCCGTCATTTCCGAATCATTATCCCGCAATCGTTTCACACCCCTCTTCCAAAAATAACGGATGTATAGGTACATTAGAATTACGAGAAGTAACTTTTGATCGTGATCCATATGAACCTAAAATCAACAAAGTAGAACTTTAAAAAACATTACATAAACCATATTTCAAGTATCAAATAAACATTCCATTTATCATATTTCAAGCCAAAATAACATTACATAAACCATATTTCAAGTATCAAATAAACATTCCATTAATCATATTTCAAGTACCAACAAGGGCAAAAAGACCTAACAAAATAGTTCCAACAAAGGCAAAAACATTTAACAAAGTAGTTCCAACAAGGGCAAAAAGACCTAACAAAATAGTTCCAACAAAGGCAAAAACATTTAACAAAGTAGTTCCAACAAGGGCAAAAAGACTTAACAAATACTTTCAACACTAGAAAATCATCGAACAATCTTCCCATCCTTCAAAACTCCTAAACTGGTACCCGTCATCTCAAGCCACCCTCGTAATATCTCGGGAACATCGGGCAAATGCATCCACATCTCTCTCATGTTCATGGTTCCTCCAAAAATATGATATGCGACAAAGCGTAAAGGATCTGTAGGGCCTAACTGAAGGACCTCTAACTTCTCTAAACACTGAGGAATTGTATACCCTTTAGTCAAACTTTGTAGAGCTTTCTTCATTTCAAATGCTAAATCGTCAGCAGTAACAGAAGTTCCATCAGGTGAAGAAGCAGACGGTGAGGCACTAGGAGCTACAGGAGTTGAGGGTTTAGCCCTTTTGTTGGGGTTACCGGATGGTGTAGCAGTATATGGTGAACCAGTATATGGTGAACCAGCAGAAGGTGAAGCAGCAGAAGGTGAAGCTGCAGAAGGTGAAGCAGCAGAAGGTGGTGGCTCATGATGAGAAGTGTCAACACCATCATCATCCATTGCATCAAAAGGGGTGGCGGTGATCTGAAGTGGTGGAACACGACAGGAGGATGCGCCAGCTACCGATGATGATTGGGTTGAGTAACTCCTAAAATTACCAGTAGCACTATTTCCATCAAAAAGACGTGCACAAAGATCTGGAAAAGGCAATGGAATTGTTCTCAAAGAAGCAGCTTTCGGATGCCCCTAAACCCAAATGTAACAAGAAATAGTATAAGAATATTTGGCAACTTCAAACGTAAATGTTATATATATATATATATATATATATATATATATATATATATATATATATATATATATATATTATTGTATATTAATGTATATGTACCTTCTTAAAATCATCCCACTCCTCGGCTGTTAAATTAAAAGTGTTTGTTTGAGAATTGTATATATTACCGGTTTTGTTTTTTAAATATACCCATCCAGTGTATTTGGCTTTCAGATTGTCATATGCGTTTTTCATTTGTTTTTGAGTCAACTCAACCCCAAATTTCTCCTTAAGAACTCTTCCAAGCCTTATCCATGAATCATTCTGTAAACTCAATCCTTTTCTACCAACACTCTCTACTTCTTCAATACAAGTATCCAATAAGCATTTTAAGTGCTCATTGGTCCATTGTTGTTTTTCTCCCATCTCTAATAACCAACTAACAATAAACAGTGAACAAGTAACATCATTATTTCAAGAAAAAAATTTTATTTTCACGACAAATTTGTAATTTTGTTTGATTTTCAATCACAATAATGTGAAACTTTTTATTCAATTATAAATAACCTCAATTAGAGTGTTTTAATTCAAAGTTTTCTAAAAAACTTTATAAATCAAATAAACTTCACTTTAACGACAAAAAACTTTACTTCTATAAAATAAACAAAACTTATGTCTCTTTTTGATGCTTTCTATCATATACATACAAAATCAACAATCATATACATATACACTATCATATAAATATACACAATCAATAATCATATATATATATATATATATATATATATATATATATATATATATATATATATAACTTTGAATTACTGCATATTTAAGCACAAACACATCACAACAATCTAGTTGAGGCTTTTTATTGCTAATTGAAGCACAAACACATAATCAAATCTAGGTTCAATTGCTAATTGAAGCACAAACACATCACAACAATCTAGGTTCAATTGCTAATTGAAGCACAAACACATAATCAAATCCAATTTCACATTCAAAGATAAATTACTTTCATTACAAATGTTTTTATTTTACACAATTTAGTTGACAACAATCTTTTGAGGCTTTTTATTCTACCTGTTCAATTACTACAACAGATTGTTGTGGAATCTTGATCAATACATCATTTTAAATCTGAATAAGATGAGGCTCAAATAAGTAGTTGATTTATATCATTTTTGGTCTATGTGGTGTTTACACTCATGTTTATGCATCAATTAACATAAATTTTGAACTATAGCTTCAATGCAACACAAAGAAGGGAATAACAGAAAGTATATATGTAGAAGGGAATAACAGAAACGTGTAGCTCACAGCAGGAAAAAAAAAAAACGAACCTGTGAGGTCGAAGTCTCCGGTGTAGCTGTGGGGGCGACGGTCTCCGGCCGGTGGCGAGCAGGGTGGTTAACGGCGGCGAGCAGACGATCGAGCAGGGTGGAGTACGATCGATCGAGGGCTGTTGTTCGCCGGCTGCTGCAATCGATTATGATGGTCGGAAAATCGGAGGACGCCGGATCGGAGAGGAAGGCGGCGATTGATGGCTTTGATCGGAGAGGAGGGTTGCGATGGTGGTGGTCGTTGCAAGGTGGAGAACGATCGAACGATGGAGGGTTTTTTCTGGGAGGGTTGGACGAGGACGGGAGGCGGAAGCAAAAGAAAAAAAGACGCGTTTTTTTTTAGGTTAAAGGGCTTGCAGACTTTAGAAGATGTTATCCCATATCTGTGTGATGAAGACCTCGCGCAGACGTTTTTATGTCTGCGCACTTCAGAAAAACAAACAGACTGCAAACCATTATGTTTGCGCGTGGTCTGCGCCTCGCAGACAGAAGAGGTCACGCAGACCTGCAGAGAAAAAACAAACACCCTCTTATTTCTTCTTGCACTTCTATCTTTCACAACCTTCTAACACAAAAAAATCTATTTTTTGAACTGTCCTAAACAACATAATTTCTTTTAAAAAAATATTAAAAACTTTACTAAAACAATAATTGAAATAATTAAACGATAACTTAATCTTAGAACAATAATTAAAATTTTAAAACCATAATTAAAATCCTAATATACAAATATTAAAGCATGTTGTATAAGTTGGGACATACACCACCATAAAACCTGCCCCTATCCACCATTTGAGTCAAGGAATGACTATACGCCTACCAGCCTACCAAGCCCACCAATGGCTATCATTCGCTTCACCATCTTATAAGCTTAATTTATTTCTACAGAGCATAATATTCATATCAAATATATAGTTTTAGTTTTCCTTTATTTTCCGCTTTTGAATAGATGTAAATTGAAGGGGGAAAAAAAAGAAAAAAAAAGTTGATCTACATCAGATTTTAATTTTAAATGACAAAATATTAGGCTTTTTCTTTTTCTTTCTTTTATAACAACACATGGGTTTTGGGTCTTCGGTTTTACACAAAATTCCAAAGAACATATGGACAAAAGATTGCATGGCCAACCAGCCTGTACTCTTATCAAGTAAGTATATACAAAGTTGCACGTTCATTCCAAAATTTGAAATTGTATCAGTGATATTGATATCCTTAAATTTGTATTTCGTCGTGGATATGGACCCTATAGTTTACTCAAAATTTTAAGTTTAGAAATTTTTGGTAATTTTATATATGGATGGGGCAATGTCCACAACAAACAACCTAAGGATAACATTAAGACGATATGAAAATTTGGACTAGTGTTGTGACTTTTTTGTAAATTAAAAAGACAAAAGTTGTAATTTACTCTATGTTTTATTGTTTATGTCGTAAAATACTCCTTGCTTTATATAATTTTTTTTCTAAAATTTCTATCCAATTTCTTATTCAAAAGTTTTTCATAATTCACATATCTATTTCTATCTATTAAAATGTTTTATAAAGATTTTTATCTAATTTATCTTTTTAATCAAATGTCATATTTGAAAGTGATTAATGCTTTGAAAATTCCTACCACTTGTTTTTTTTTTCGTGTCATTTAGCTATGGAGGTGCGGTATAGGTTGTTTCGGTGGTGGGGGTTAGATGATTACCCGTTGGATTTGTATTCTGATTGGCTCTCATTTTTTTTTTTTTTTTTTTTTTTTGTCTTTCTGTTTTTGTAAAAGCTGGGTTGGAAGATATTTTCACCTCTGGTTGATGTCATATTTTGAATTTTAGAAATGCTCATCTTTTTTCTTCTCTTGGACCAAGGATGGGAGAGATTTTCAATAACATGTAGTTTTATTTACGGTGTAACGCTAGGTTTAATAAAACTATTAAGTGGGTTGGATGGCTTCAAAACCTTCAATTAACTATCTCTTGGTGTCTATATTTTTGTTAGCTCATTGCTAGTTGTTTTGTTTTTTTAATAAAATATGGAGTTCTAAAAAGATAAGTTTTTTTTTTGAAAAAAATTAACGAAGGGAATTTCTAAATTTATGTCGAAATGTTAGTCACCTTGAATTTATAATAAGTGCATGAAATAAGCATGTAAAAAATTAGTTTATTTTTAAATTTAATGAAAAAAGTTATTAAGGAAAATTAGATAATATATGTGTAACACCCATTTTCAAAAATGGATCAGTTGATGATAAAAATGAGTCAAATGAATGGTTTTTGAGGAAAACCATATGTCACGACGTGACGCATGGAGTGCCACGATGTGGCATGGCAATTGAAGAACACGTACTTCTAATGGACACCACCATGTGGCATCAAGGTTACCACGACTTGGTGAACGATACAGCTCAAGCCAATGATTTTTATGTTTCTTCCATATTTAAAACCATCAGCTCATGATTTAGGACATCATTTTCAGTCTCTAACCTCCCTAAACGAAATTCTAGCATCCATGGAAGATTTAAAGCTTATTTGCTTGATTTTGGGCTTGTTCTATAGACTTTGGTAAAGCTTGAGGATAGAAGGAGTTCACTTTGGTGCAAGGAAGCAAGGAGCAAGCTTGGATCCAACATCTTCTTCATATTTTTTAGCTTCTTGGGGTATAAAGGTCAAACCTTGACACTTATTCTTCTAGATTCAAGTTTGGGGCCATTTTAGGTGGTTTTAGTCCCTCTCTTGGATGCTCTTGGAGTTGGAGGAACTCTAGAGCTTGTTATGGCTCACTTATGGTCAATAGTTTCTATAGAATGAGAAAAAGGAGCCATGTTGGAACCACCTTGTGCCCATGCATAAGTTTTGTCCGCATTGGTGTAACACCCAGATCCAAAGGTACTTCAAAATTTTCCAATTTTTTCACTTTAAGGTTTGCCAGGACGTGGCAAGTCAAGTTAAGTCCGCTTGACAAACCCTGTTTTTGGGTTTTGCTTCTTATTTAAAGGAATGAGGAGGCTAGGGTTTGCTCACCCCCAGCCTCCATCAGCCTCCTTGAGATTTGAGAAACCTTAGTTTCTTTTCTCTCATATTTTAAGCCATTTTGGTGTTCTTTAAAGCCTTTAAATGAAGAAGGAAGAAGAAGTGAGCTAAGATTCAGCACGATGGTCCTCATCTTTTATTTGTCACTCTTCTGGACCTTTGTAAGTGTCCAAGACTCGATTTTTATGATGATAGGTTTATGTATCTTATGTTTTGTCCCTAAATCTTCATGTTATTGTGGGTTGGAGTGATGGGATCTTATAAAATTTGCAACTTTATGAATCTTTGGGATATTTGACATGGTTGTTAGTTTAGATTTGGATTCTAGTTGGGTTTTGAGCCATGCATGAGATTTCCATGGAAAAACCCCTATTTTGACTTATTATAGCTTCAAGACATGCATTAGACATGCATGTCTATAAAGCACCAAAATTTTATGTTAGTTTTGATCTTAGAAACTGATCTGGAGTAAATAAGTTATGGACTTTTTTGGAATAAGTGCTTAATAGGGAAAGTCATGTCTTATTTACCTCATTTGAAACCTAGGGTTTGAGATTTTGACTGTTTGGGTGGTCTTAGCGGGTAAGTTGGAAACTTTATCCTTCTAGACCTAATTTCGGACCAAATATGAGTTTTGGAGTTCTTAGGATCGAAGAAAACAGCTTAACCCGTTAAGTTGCTAAAAATCCAGTGCCCGTAGCGTGGCATTAGGTCGCCACGATGTGGCGGTGGGGAATATCACAACGGATTGGTTACTGGAGGGCCACAACGTAGCCATAGGTTGCCATAATGTAGCGGTTGAATAAAGTCAACGTTGATCGTTGACTTTTGACTTGAGATGACTTTTGGTCAAGCACTTAGTTTGGAGAAAGAGCTTAGGGTTTATATGGTTTAACTAAATAGGTGGTGCATAACAACAGTATTCTTTCAGTGAGAGAAGTAGCAGTTGAGCATTTTCTATAATGTGAGTCTTCTCACCACACTAGTGGGTCAAGGGCACCAATGTCGTGTAACGACCCAAAAATATGATCCAAAAATTTCATTTTTTAAAAATAAAACAGTATTCCAAAAATATTATCCATCTTCCAGATCAAATTCGAAAAAAGAGTAATTGAAATACAAATCCATCACCTTTAACCATCGACCCACCCAAATCCATCTATTAGACCATTTTCGGAAAAAATAAAGAATAAAAATAAACACTAGAAGAAGAAAGGATATAAAACTAATCAGTAGAGAGGAGAAGAAATCATATCTAGCTTCCTTTTCATCCTGAGTTTTAATGGGGGAAGGAGAAACATCCAAGCACAAATGATGAAATCCTCCGAAAGCCTCTAATTCATTTGTGACTTCAATTGATTCCGGCGATACCAATAGATTAGGAGAAACAACAAAGACAAAAATGATGGTGGTGGTGTCGTTTGCTTTCATTCTCCTGCACCAAATGAACGAAAGGAGTCTGGACGGTCAGCGGTAGTAGGATCGGCGTTGGAAGCGAGAAGGGTGGAATCGTGAGTCAGTAGGGACGAAGCTTTCATTCTGTTTGTAGCACCACCGTAAATCAAGATTTGGGTGTAATACCATCGGTGATTTGGGTGTCTTCCCTACTGGAAATCGGAGAAAATGAGCAGATGAGTGAAGAAGGGGAGATGAGTGGTGGGGATGTAAGGATGCAATAACAAATGGTATGTTCTTGATTTCACGAGAGAGAAAGAGAGAGAGAGAGAGAGAGAGAGAGAGAGAGAGAAAGAGAGAGAGAGAGAGAGAGAGGGGGCAGGTGGGTCCCATTCTTGATTTGATTTAACAATTATAATTAAGTAAAAGAAAAAAATATTTAAGTAAATGGAAAAAAAAATTAAAAGGGCAAAGTAGTCTTTTCAAGATTATCAAGGACCAATTCTACAATGAAAATAGCCCAAAAGAACTACAAAACCAAAAAAGTCATTGTTTGGATTAAAATCCTAAAAATTTGCATACCACAGGGACATTTTTGCAATTTTGTCTAAAATAGAAGAGTGAAAGTGAAATTTTATAAATTTAAAAATAAAATGGATCAAATGACTTTTTCAAAACGAGATGGACGAAAAAATATCATCTACAAGATATATATATATATATATATATATATATATATATATATATATATATATATATATATATATATATATATATATATATATATATATATGGTTAAGTTATAATGTGGATAATGTATATTGTGTGGATATAGGGAATGTGGATCAACTTTTTTAGTTATTCTAAGAAAATGATTTACTTATATTATTTAAATAAAGAAAATAGAATAATCAAATAAATATCATTGTAAAGATATTTTAGTCAATTAAGCTAGATCTAGAAAAAGAAAAATTGCGGATTTTAAGGGATAAAAAAATCTACTAATTTTAAAAATCTGATTTTAAGGATCATAATTCATATTTTCTGAGAGAATATGTTTAAGAATATTACTGAAAAATAACAAAATTCTTGAACCATAAAAAAATAAATATTCTGAGAGAATATATATTTTGATCGAATGAACTTTTTGAAGAATAACAAAATTTTGGATACAAGTTACACTTTTTCATCACATTCTTTAAAAAATAAAAATATTTATATATTGTTTAATGATAATATAACACTTACTAATAACAAAAAAACAAAATATGTAGATTATTCTACTAGAATAAACTGTTATATATGATATTATCATTCTATTGTAAAATATTATGCCAAAATTAACGATGTATAATAAATTCTTTTTTGAAAATTGGTGACCATTGTTAATCTCTATTTCACATACCATCATCCAACATTTAGGCTCTTGATCATCATGTTTCTTCGTGCATTTTATAAGAATAATTGTTATGAAATCGAATTATGTAAGAATAAATTAATGCAAGAAATCTTTTATATGAAAAATAATAAAATAAACTTTAGAAATTATGTTAAAATGCATTCTACATAGTCACAACCAAAAAACACCAAAACCCAAGTGAGAATTCTCCGTGATTTTCAATAACTTGAACATAAATTCTCTTTTAGGCATTTCCGTAAATATCTATTGTGCAACATATATAGATGATATAAAAAACATTTTGGTCAAATTCATTTACAACACAAGAATATTGAATATATATATATATATATATATATATATATATATATATATATATATATATATATATATATATATATAAATCATTTAAAAAATAATAAGAAAAAGATCACTACTTTCACATGATCACTGAATATCTTGCCGGATAAGCACTTTGTTTTCTTACTAAAAAAATAGATAAATTTTGATATGTGATGAGAATATTAGTAACAAAAAAATAGAGGTGAGCATGATAACCGAAAAACTAAACCAAAACCAAATTAATCAATATAACCGAACTATTTTAAAAATCGTTGATTTGGTTTCTAATTTTTGTTAGCCGATAACTAACGGTTCGATTATGATTATATAGGTTAATCGAACCACTATTAACCGAACCGTTAATTTTATATTTTAATATATAAAAATTATAGATTATATATAAAATAATATAGTCAAACTTTTTTAAGACACATTAAAATTTCAAAATATAATTCATTAATCTTCACTTATCAGGAGACGAACGAACAATCAAACCGTTAAAGGCTTATCACGCAAACCCACACAATCTTCCAATCATGCATTGAGTTAGATTATTGATTAATGTTGTAATTCCTAATCGGTTAATTCTACAATTTGTAAACATTATTCACAGTTACTTTAATCTTCACACTCATAATCTTAATCAGAAGCTTCTCACACCGTTAATCCTAATCGAGTATTATTTTGACTTTATAGTCTTGTTCGAATGATTTTTTGTCTTTATAATGAAGACTTCTAAGTAAGTTAAGTTTTTGGTTCTTCTTGATTTTGTGATATATTAAAAATGTATTTTTTTTTTTAATTTTTTGGCTTTTTTTATTTACTTTTTTTTACTTAATCACATTTAATGTATATGACTGATTTGATTTTTTTTATCCGGATAACACATAATATGAGTATTTTTAACACATTTTAATTGAAATATTTTAAAAGTATATAATGTTAGAATATTATAAATATTATATTTTTATGTTAACTACAATATTAGAATATTTCATTAGAAAAAATTGATATTACGATCTCACAAAATATATATATATATATATATATATATATATATATATATATATATATATATATATATATATATATATATATATATATATATATATATATATTTCTGGTATGGGTTACATCACAAAATATATATTTTTTGGGTGTTATCAAACATACATTCCTTTATTCACATAAATTGTTATAAATTGTTATATTATAGGCGTGCATCTACATTATTTCACTTGAGATACACAAAGCAATTTGGGATGGAATATAAAATTAGCCATGTTTTTTTTAATGGACAGGTGAATTAAAAGTTGTCTAGAACTATGTACTTAATACATACAAGACACGATACTTTTTGATCTATAAAAAAAGATAATTATGTCGACTCACTCATTTTGAATGTTTATTTGACACCTTTCTTTAAAAATACAAGATATTGTTTTTGTATTTTATCTATAATTTTACACAACGTGAATGTATTTATCTATTTCGGCTATTTTGTTTTTATGAATTTAACAAAATATGAATGACATGGTGCCAATAATTTGGTGCGTCTACCTTTTTCAGTGGGTAGGTTTCTTCGGACTTTGAACCGGTCTCCGTCGTTGGTCGGTCGTCGCAACTAGAAATATCATATAAAAAAAACAGTGTCGCAGGAGTACATGGTTTTCCCAAAAACCATATTTTTGTTTGTATATAATAATATCGAACATGTGACATTTTATATTTAGATAAAACTGCATAAATAGTCCTACAGTTAGACGAAAATTAATATTTTAGTCCAAAAAGGTTTTAATGGACGCTAGAGATCTAAGATTTTTATTTTGTTATTAATTTGATTCAATTTGCTTTAAATTTTTTTATAAGATGATTTTACCATTTTTTTTCTTTTGCAATGTTTTATTATTTTTTTTATTAAAATAAATAAAAAACAAAATAAAAAACCAATTAACCTCTCTCTCTCTCTCTCTCTCTCTCTCTCTCTCTCTCTCTCTCTCTCTCTCTCTCTCTCTCTCTCTCTCTCTCCGATCTAACATTCACGAACCAAATGTTCATCTGGGTTCAAATTCAACACATATGAACTCACACACCCAATAATCAAAGGAGACTACCGGAACATAAATGTGCATCAGAAAACTCAAAGGCTACCCAAAAGCTTTACGATTTTATGGTGGTGTTGGGTTTAACTTCGAATCTAGAAGACTTCTACAGAAGGAGAAAGATGAATATACCCATATGAAAATCCAAGATTAAAAATCAAAGATGAATATACCCAGATGAAAACCTCTCCTACAACGGCAAGAATGGCAGATAATGAAAAGAATTAGAAAGAAAAAAGTCTCATTAATCTGATTGATGAATCTTTGAACACAAACTCAACTTTTTTTCCCTTTACCCATCGATTAAATTAAATCAAGACTGGTAAGTTACATAAATATGATTGATGAATCAGAAGACGAAGAACACCGATGACTACCCCTTTATGTGTTTACATACCTCTCCTCTCTTGTTGTATCCCTTCTCGTTTCCCAAAACCCTAATGTCGCCACCCTTCTCGCTTTAAGATCTGTAAGAACGAGTCTAGATTAAGGTTTCATTTTGGTTTCAGGATGAAACCTTATCGACACCATTATCCTGATGCAAGTTTACGAAACCTTAACAATAGTGTCGGCGATGAAGAAGATGTAGACAACAACGTATATATGTAGATGGCGGACCTTTGATCTTTTGAATCGTCTTCGATCTTCTAATTTGTCTACGGTCTTCTGATTCGTCTCACCACCTCGGGATATTTTAGTAAGGCGATGGTGGAGAACCGGATTTCTCTTGGATCGTGTAAGTTCACTTTCCAAACTGATATTTTCACCCTACGTCTAGGTTGTAGGAAATCCAGTATAGGATACTCCAGAAGGACACTTGTATATCTAGTAACAGAAACACAAGCCAAATCGCAAGAGGGTTTATAGTTCATGTAGAAGAAGAAGAACCAAGAAGTTTATATCTCACAACTCAATTAAGGAGCCATATTTATACTAGACAGATTAGGGTTTCTGTCTTCTATATTAGGTAGGAGAATCAAGAATTTGATGATATAATTAATGGTTACCAAAATTGATAAGATTTATCAATTTTACCATAATCACTACTATAATTTGGTTTTTCCATTATATAACAAATTTAAATTTCCGAAGATCGGTTAGTAGGACCACTGCCAGGGGGTCTGCCCCTTGGACCCCACTAGGGGGTTGCCCCTTAGACACTGCAAAGGGGTGCGACCCCCTTGATCCCCGCCTTTTATCGTACTAGATTATAATTCAATCTTATATATGCATGCATTTTGCATTCTCCAAACATATAATATAAAATACAAATAATAAGTCCCTTAGCTCGCATGTCAGTTACAATTACATTAAATGCCCAATGACACTAAAATCATCAACATGTGATTTTAACTTGTCTTCGATATTCTGATTTGTCTTCAGTGACACTAAAATCGACGATAAAGAAGATGTAGACAACTACGTATATGTGCAAATGACGGACCTTCGATCTACTGCCTTGTCTTCAATCTTTTGATTTGTCTTCGGTCTTCTGTTTCGTCTGACCACCTCCCCATTATCAGATCTATAAAAAGAGTAAGCGAAAGAGAGAGGGGGGAGGGGTGTATATTTTTTTATAATTTTTGTAACAAAAAAAACTGAAAAAAAAAATATAATAGCAAAATCATCATTTAAAAAAATCAAAATAAATTGGACCAAACACGCAATTTCAACATAACGCAAGGATCATTTATACACTTTTGTCTTATGTTTATCTGCGTATAAAAATCTAGCAATCATTAAAAATTTATGACGTAATTAATGATGATCCATTACCAGATGTCTATTCACATACATTCTAGAGATTGTGAAAAAAAAACTATCCTTTTATAATATAATATTTAACAAAATAATCACATGATTGACAAACAAAACGATTACTAATGGCATAAAATGATCACTAATATGCAACGCGTGACTTGAAAATTACGAAATTATTTCCTGGATTCAAAAAAAAAAAAAAAAAAAAAAACAACTAAGCAATAGCTCTTTTTCAATGAAAAAAAATATATAATCGTAATATTATAGTGTGAAGTTATTTTATAATAGTAAAATTCTTCATAAATCTGTAAAATTGTTCATAATCTTTTTTTTTATCTTCTGAAACAACTGTAGGTTTTGGTAGATTCTTTCATTTTTTTTAATGATTATTTCCAAATGTATCGTATTTATTACATTTGTTAACTAATTTACCTACGTATATAATCTAATATACAAATAACTTCAAAGTCAAGGGCAACATCAACATGTATAAAAAAAAATAAAAAAAAATACGTGTATACATTACACACCCGAAGGGGAACATCAATATAATAATTTTATTTCTAAAAGAAAAGTCAAAAGTAGGAAAGGGCGTATATAACACGGTTTGAACATAGAGATGTGGTGGTCCACGTCATCGTCTTCTTCCACCTATCACGCGCTATTTCTTCCACTTTCTTTCTGCTTTTTCTACCCCATTTACACCTTCCCCTTCTCCCTCTCATTTCTCTCCACCAATATTCCGACAAAAAAAAAACTTCAATAAAATCTCTCCATTAACTCGACATTTTCAGTGTAGTTTGCAATTCAAACGCGTAAACATCTGATTTCAATTCATCGAACATGTTGCGGATGTGTGTTAAGCCTTTAGAAAGATGTTTAGGACGACGGAGTGGTGATGTACTTTTATGGCATAATGACTTGAAGCCTCATGCCTCCGGCGACTTCTCCATCGCCGTTGTTCAGGCCAATTCTAACCTTGAAGATCAAAGCCAGGTTTATACTTCGCCTTCCGCTACGTATGTTGGCGTCTACGATGGTCATGGTGGCCCTGAAGCTTCTCGTTTTGTTAATTCTAACCTTTTCCCCTTCATTCATAGTAAGTACTTTTACGTTTACGTTAATGTTAATGTCAAACCCTAGCTTGAAGTTTGAACTGATTTGGCTATTGATTTTCATAAAATGTCGCTGTAGTTTTTTTTATATGTTTTAGAGTTGAAATTCAGAATCAGATAGCGTGATTCCCAATTTTATTGATGGATATCTGTGATTATGTATTCATCTCTGGCGAATTTCGATTTTTTGTAGAGTATGCATCCGAACAAGGAGGTATATCCGCAGATGTTATAAAAAAGGCATTCAACGCCACAGAGGAGAAGTTTTTCCAGTTCGTGAAGCATCAAATGTCCATTAAACCACAGATTGCATCAGTTGGATCATGTTGTCTTGTTGGTGCTATTTCTAACGATGAATTACATGTCGCTAACCTTGGAGACTCACGAGTAGTCCTTGGCCAGAAGGTTTCCGATGGAAGAAAGGATAAAGTAGTTGCAGAGCGTTTGTCACGAGATCATAATGTCTCATATGAAGAAGTGAGGAAGGAGGTAGAATCACAGCATCCTGGTGATTCACCTGTTGTTATGTATTGCCGTGGAGTTTGGAGAATCAAAGGCATAATTCAGGTACACTACTTTCACTTAATTTCTTCAACTTGTAATGTTTCAGACTTCAATGGATTCATGTAATCACTAATTCAATATCAAATGATCGATTCTTTTCACCTTTAGCTTTCTGAAAAGACAATTATTCCGAAGCATCTGATTCGTGAATCGTTTTGTCTATTCCCTTTTACTTTTTTGAGAAGCATCACATGTTCTTAAGCAACTGAAGTTAACATGTAAAATGATATGCCAAATTTATGTTCTTTTTTTCAGGTATCACGATCAATAGGTGATTTCTATTTAAAGAAACCCGAATTCCACAGGGACCCACGTTATCTACAGTATGGAAACCATGTTCCATTGAAGAAAGCTGTATTATCAGCAGAACCTTCCATCATTTCAAGAAAACTCAAATCCCAAGATTTGTTTTTAATATTCGCTTCCGATGGACTTTGGGAGCATTTGAGCGATGAAACAGCAGTTGATATTGTATATAATAATCCAAGATCGGTTAGTCACCTTTTTTTTTATTATATTAATTATTATATCATTATGAATGATTTTCATTTTTCAAGAATTGTGTTAATGGAAAGAGAAATGTTTGGTTACAGGGGATAGCAAAAAGACTGGTAGGGGCAGCGATACGTGAGGCGACAAAGAAGAGGGAGTTGAGATACAAGGATATAATGAAAATCGAGAGGGGTATTAGGCGTCATTTTCACGATGATATATCTGTGATAGTAATATATCTTGATCGTGAGAAGGGTACATCGAAAAACAGGAAGCTAGGGTTTACAACAGCGCCTATGGATATATTTTCTCATAATGAAGATAAAAATCACAAAACTGTGGAAGATCCCCTTTTGGCCAATTAAGAATGCTTGATTAAGACCCTAAAAAAAGAGTGTAAATATTTAACAAGATTGAATGTAGGAATTTAGGATTGGTGATGGGTGTCTTGTATCTTCATCTATAAAGTTCTAACATGATATTTCTTTGTTTTTTGGTTGATGAGTTGGGGTTATAAATATAATGTATGCTATTTTACACTAGTTTTGCTATATATATATTGCTCCATTTTCGTTTCATTGTGTGTACATTTTCTGTGATCAATAAAAAGCTAGAGCCTTTTAGGTAATGATCTTCATGGTGTTAAAGTCATCTGTCCATACTTCATAGCAATGATTGTTTGAAGTGAAGGGGTTTTGGGGTTAATAGGTTATGTAAGTATGTATTGATTGATTTTGTCTTTGTATTGGATTAGTGTTTTGTTAGTTATTGGTTCTTGGTTATGGGGTACGAAAACATACTTATCTTTAGTATATTGGTTTTTAGTTAGATGGTAAAAACCAAGGATAATGATTTAAAATGGTAATGTAATCTTTTTTTTTTTTTTTTTTTTTTCATATTTACACTTTCAACTTGTTAAATTATATATATTCAATCATTATGATCGGTTACTTCAGGTTAGTCGGTAAAAATGAGTTAATAGAATAATATATTTCTTACTTTGTACACTTTTAATACTTAATATTTTTGTACATATTTAATCATTAATATTTTTTTTTTGTTGCAAAATAAGTCAATTTTGTTTTTGTACTCATTTAATACTTATAAATGATTTCTTTAGGTTTTTTTTGTTGCAAAATAAGTCAATTATGTGAGACAATCATTAATGAGGTGTTTGGTGCTTTTGATGTTCATATCCATCACGATTTCAACTACTTGGTTACTTAGGTCATGTGCTCTGAACGTCATAACTTCTTCATACGATTTCGGATTTTACCAATCTTTATATACATGTGTTTGTATTTTACTCAACTACAATGTTCATTTAGATTACTCCCATTAAAAAATAATATATTTTTACTTATGATCTTTCTATCCATACTTTTTTATGAATGCATGTATGAATGTTTTTTTTTTTAATAAAATCGTAAGTAAAAATATATAACATTTCAACGGGAGTAATCTTAACAAAAGTTGTAGTAGACTCAAAAGACGAATACGTGGATATAAAGACCCTTAAAATCTAGTATCGTATGAAGAAGTTATGACGTTCATAACACAAGACTTAAGCCAAACAACAAGACATACGTAACCAAGCGGTCGAGATTGCGATGAACATAAGCATCAACAACCCAAACACCTCATTAATGATTGTCTCACGTAAGATGTCGTGAGAAAAACCTAAATAAATCATTTATAAGTACTAAATGAGTACAAAACAAAAATAACTTATTTTGAAACAAAAATATATGAAGTACTAAATGCATACAAAATGAGAAACATATTACCCAATTAAATCATTTTTCCCGGCTAACACGGATTAACCGGTTATAAAGACTGAATGTGTACAGTTTAACAAGTTGAAGGGGCAAATGTGGACAAAAAAAACTCAGTGACCAAATGTGATAAATCAAAAAATTATATTATCCTTTTAAGTCATTATAGGTGTTAAAGTTATGTTATGAAGAATTTTCTAGATGGAAATTTGTTTAGGGTTACATTAGTAAGGTATATGTTAGACCACTAGATGAGAAAGTTGATGATTACCTGGGAGAATAACAACTCAAATATAATTACATGACTCAAAAACTCTTTTAAGATTTTTATACACATATCAGTTAGAGACCAATATTCGTGCACTTCAACATAATGATAGTAGCATTCAAGATTTTTATGTATATATGTCTTATGACATCTCCACTTTCTACGAAAGACCTAAATATTTTTCAACACTTTCTACCAAAATTTCAGCATTATCTTTATGTAAATAAACCATATTCATAAGAAATCCTTAATACTTCCAACCACAAATAAATAAATAAATAAATAAAATCTAATACACTAGTTGTATATAAGCTATCAACTATTAAACACATAGTGTAGCCTCAAAGCGCGCCATAACTAATCAACTCTTAAAGCAACACTACATGTAATGTGGATGTTATGGTCCTAATCCTTTCAATGATCTTATCCATTCTTATATCCTTTGTAGAATTACTTTTGTTGTCTCTTCACGCATTTGATATTTATACATGAACTTGTGTTATATAACAATTCATAACATGATATAATATGTGAATAATTGTACAATGTAAAATGTAACAAATGATTTCACCATAATATAGAGAAATATAGCATTGATACAATACAATGCATATGGCACTGTGCAACTCAACACAACCAAATTAATTTAGGATCCTAATCAACTTATAACTAAAGACGGAAAATCCACATGAAATTGCATCTTGTACCAATAAAGGGAATGGTTCTCAATCTGATACACCATCTCAACCACCATGAGTACAAATTATGACTAGAAACATACCTCTAATAAGAAAGCCTCTATTGTAGTAGCACATAATAAATTACCATATCTACTATCTAATACTAGTCAATTGCAATCATATTTTAGGGCCAAATATTAAGTGGGAGATGGAAGAGGAAATAAAGAAAATATACTCGCGACTATTCTTGGAATCTACGATTCATGAATGAAATCATTCTTAGGGGGTGGTTAATTGTAACATCCTTGCTAATTAGTATGTTAGATCTTGTTACTTCATGTCTTTTGAAAACCCAGTTTCTCTATAATCCTTGAAGTACCCAATCAATTTGTTTATTTCTGTAATACCATTATCAAGATGTATATCCTTTGATTGTAACTTCTTACTCATAATATTCACATAGTTTAGTACTTCATACCAAATAAAAGTTGACACCAAAAATTCAAAGTCACCAAGTTCTTTTTCTGCTAGTGAAGTTGCTTCACTTGCAATCACAACATCATTATCTTTTTCTCCAACTTGAAGCAAAGTTTTCCGTACATCCACAAGTTGCAGTATAATTACCTTTACACTCTCAACCTGTCTTTCCCAACAAGTTTGACACAATGACTTAAGACACTAAGCTTTAACATTATCTTTCAAAATTTCCCACCTCTTAGTAGAATTTGCAAAGATAGTATAATGCGTTGGATGAATCCAAGAAAGTTCTTTCCATTACACACTTGTTAGCCATATCACATACTGTTAGATTAAGAGAATAACAACCATAAGGAGTGTAAAATGCTCTAGGATTTATATCTAAATATCTCTTTTGCACTCCTTGGTGTTTTCAATTACATATTAAATACAATTAACAAATAAGAAGTGGAATCAGTCATCATAATTAACAAAAAGGTATTTGGTGGAATTGGAATAAAAAAATTATATAAGTTATAGTTACCTTTTTGATAAAACTTTTCATTGGCTTCACGAAATCCTAAATTATGTTTACCAAGAAACTTCACTACTGCAATAATTCTCAAAAGGACTTGTTTCCAATAATTTCTTTCTTTCTTGAATTGCTCGTGTTGAACTTTATTAATTGTTTCGTTCAAATTCAAAATTTTAGGCATATCAAACCAATTATTCTTATTTGTAAGATGCTATAATGAAATTTTTGTTGGATTAGGTGTCTAAGCCCATACTTACATTGGTATATACGTAAATTGATAGCAACACAGTCCTTTTGGATTGTCCTCAAAACTAGCAACTAGACAGGAAGAATTTGGAGAAAGAAGTTGATTTATTATTTGATTAATAAATTGAAATAAATAATTTGTTAATGTGTTATGAGAATAATATATTAATTAGAAATAGTAATATTTAATTAGTATTTAATCAGAAATTAATTGGAACTAATTTTTGGATTAAAGAAATTAAATAAAAGTGCAAGGACTAAAGTGTAATTATCTAATAGTTGAACAAGAGGAAATCTAGAACCCTCCATGAAGGCTTGGACGGTTTCTTGATGGCTAAGGGATTCTAGAATAATCCCTGGTAGATAAACAGGAAAGTAGATAATTACCTGGTTTAAGATAATCTTGGGTTAGGGCTTATCTAGGGTTTTCTGACTGCACTATATACGCAACCTCAACCCTAAGAATTTTGACCAACTGCTTCTTGGAAGACCTAGCCGAATTTTAGATTATCTCTCCTCCTTCTCAATCATCTTCCATTGCTAGTGTTGGGTGTGAACCACTAGAGGCGTGACCAAGGTTGTAGAACTCGTTACTCGGTACCTGTTCAGCCGACTACCGAGTAGCGAGTACTCGGATTCGGTAATTCATGTAGAAATCTTTTAAAGGAAATTATATATGTCAAAATCATAAGTTGATTTAAATACATAACAAAATTAGATACATGTGAATACACAATAACTGAAAAACACATAATGGTTTCACTTCGTGAATAATTACTGAAAGTATAAGATATATATATATATATATATATATATATATATATATGTAGTAATAATCATATGTGTGTGTGTGTTAAATAATAAATCATTAAGTATATTATATATATTAATCACCGAGTTGAACGATTTTTACAACACTGCTCAGTTCAGTAAGAGGCCGATCGGGGAGTACTTGGGATTTTGTAACTCGCCTCGGTAAGGGACCGAGTAGCGAGTACTCGGAGGAGTAATCGGCCAACTCAGTGAGTTTTACAACACTGTGCGTGACATTTGTGACGCTTGCTCTCAAAAGGATTTGCATTGTTATTACTATATAACAATCAAGGTATGATTCTTATAACCCTACTTGCATATTTTCGATTGTATACTAGTGTTCTAGGGTTTCTATTTTGTTGTTTAAGATGTATGTTCAACTAAAGAAAACATAGATCGATTATTAGGGTTGCATGCACACATATGATTTATATGTTTTGCATAATACCCATCAATTTTGTGTTATTTAACCTTAGTTGTAACATGGTGTCAATCTATATAAATTTCATCGTCTAATTTACCTTTCGAAATCCATTTTCTAAACACTTCACAACAGAAACAAAATACCCTATCTAGCTCTTTCGAATATACTAGTGATTCTCAATCACACTTCTCCAAATTTGATAAGTTTTTGTATATTAAGCTGCAGAAAACCTTTTACCAAATTTATCGTAGGGACCATACACAATACTATTATCTTTTTTAGGACCTTTATCGACTAATAGTTTAATCTCATCATAAATAAGTTTTTCCCACCTTCTTGGATCATACCACCTCCGTCCCAAATTGATAGTCCACTTTTGACTTTTAAAATTTTTTTTCTTCAACTTTGACCTTAAATAATTTTGTTTTTTATAGATAACATTTGATGCAAAATATATGAATGGATTGTATTTTAAATGCTTTTTCATTGTTCTAAGTTTTATCAAGTAATATATAACACAAATAAAAATATTTAAGGTCAAAGTTGAAGAAAAAAGACTTCAAAAGTCAAAAGTGGACTATCAATTTAGGACGGATGGAGTATATATCAATAAACTCTTTAATAGGCTCTTGCTCTTCTATCTCTTATACTTCTATATGCTCTTGCTCTTCAACATACTCTTCAATGTGTTCTTCAACATGCTCTTCAACAAGTTGTCTATGGATGAACTTATCTAGAGCACCGACATCAACCTTTCTTTTTTCATCATCTAGTTTTCTCTTTTTACGTTTTTGATATCCGGATGGTTGTTTAGACTTCATCACTACAAGTCCATTAGTTTCAACTTTCAACATTCAAGTAATTACAATAAACATAATTGGAAAATCTAAGAATTAGATAACCTTATTTATGATAAACAATTTTACAATAAACATAAACTCATAATTTAAACTACTAAATTGATTTCTATGAATCTTAGAAACCGATTCATTCATTCAATATTCTATTAAACTAATTTCTATAGTAATAAACTATTAAATTGATAATCTATGAATCATTCAAGTATGCAATTTATAATTATAAACTGATAATCTTCAATTTCTTATAAATCATACTTGATTGACTGATTAGCAGGAGATAAAATCAGATAATTGATCTTTGAGTTCGACCCTTGCTGTCTTGTTGAATCAGATCACCACAGCGACTCAGCAATATCATTCACCCATGCTATCGGAGTGTCGGTCTGTTGCTATTCGCTTAATTGCTAACACAGTAACACTTATCGTTTTTTTAACGACAAATGTGAATACGTGATGTTGACTTTTGTTTCGTCCAATTCCTTCTCTCGTACATGATGAGCCGCTGACTGATACATTTGGATTATTGGGTTGAAAATTGTATATACTACTAAAAAAATTTGAACCCCTTAAAATTACGGACCCTACTCCAATGCCCACATTGCACATGGTTTAAATCGGGTCTGAGAGACATATAGTAGATGTCTGAACTTCCTAATATCGACTTCAACAAAGTAATCTGAACTCCCTAATATCGACATCAACAAAGTAATGTCAATTCAGTTTATATTTTTTTCTCACAAGCAAACCATAATAAATAAAAAGGCAACTTAACAACCAATAATTCCAACCAGAATTCATTTTGTGAAGACAATAAAACTGGAGAGTGTAGGCGTATGAAAATCATTATATTTTTTAGAAACCAAAGAAAAAATGTCTACTCATTTTGAAAATTGTATCTCTCAATTTTTTCCAGCATAAAACCTTTTGTTTTGTGACATTATTGTGTTTGGCAAAATATACATAATTTTGTAATATATTAACGATTTTATAACTTACTTCAAAACTATTCAAAATGGGTGAAACATTATATTATTCTATAAAATAAAAAGAAAATGAAACGTTTTTGTAATGACAGGTTTATAAAGTAGTATAAAATAATGAGTAAACAATAATTTTTCAAAACAGATAGTTATTTAATGATACTTTTATACCCCACGTTCGTTTTATTTTATAGCACTTCATATATTATTAGTCATTTTCGTGCTTAACCATTTTGTTTATACGTGTAAGAAACAAGTATCGTGCATATTTGATCCAATGATCCTTACCAAATTATATTTGTAATTTCATACCACATATATAGTTTACTAGAATTTAAAGAAATTAAAAGAAAAATGTAAAATTCATTTTCAAATTTCAATTATCTTAACAAAAAACAATTGAAACAAACTCCAATAATCAAACACTTTTATTCATTTCTTCTTACAAATACATCATATCATTCATAAAATACCCAAAACATGAAATCATCATCAAACTTCAAAATCAAGGAACAATCTTGTAACCTTTCATCTTATCAATCCAAGAAACAAAAGAAGATTTGGAATTCCTAAACCCTAAAAACCCATGTTCTTTGCTCTTGTTCATGGTGTCCAACATACACGCACCTCCAAGAATCACATCCACAAACCACCATACACCAACCTCCTCCAATTTCGTAACCTGCAATCCCTTCGCTCTCACAATCTCATCCCAGACTTCTCCTTTATCCTTCATCATCTCCACCAAGCTCATCTTCTCACCACCTTCATCAAACCCTCCATTTTCAACCTCAAATTGCTCCGCTAACACCTTCCAAAAGTGCTTCCACTTGAACACATCTCCATTGCTGATGTTAAAAGCTTCATTCTTTGCGTAAGGTTCGACTGCTGCCCATATGTGTTGCTCAGCTATCAAATCGGCGTCTGAAACATCGGAGTAATGATCCCAAGCTTCCTTAGTCCCTGGGAATTTCAATGGAACCCCTTCGTGTTTACAGATTGTAGCGTATACGCATAAAGTACCGATTATGTTCATCATGCTATAAGGCGAAAAACCGAATATAGTTCCAGGTCGATGAACTGACCAGGTTAATCCTTCCTTCTGTTCCACAGCTTTGAATAGAATGTCCTCTTGGGTATAGTAGAAATTCGGGGCATCAAGGCGAGGTAGATCTTCGTGAAAAGGGGGATCATGAGCGACTTTTCCGTACAATTCAAAAGGACCTATGTAATGTTTCCGACCAGTTTGCAAAGATACGTGCTGTAAATTGGGGGAATTCGGGATCACTGCATCCAGGACGTTTTTGAGCATTTTTCCGTTGATCTCGCAATTCTCAGATTCGGTGGATCGATTTGCCCAAGTGACATAGAAGACATGAGTAACGTCTTGGAGCCCACCGAGTTTAGTGAGGGTTTCTTCCGGATCGGAGATATCGCACTGGATATACTCGATAGGGTGGTCGGCGTTCCATTGGGGGCGAGAGCGACGGGCGACCCCATAGACTTTCCAAGGACCGCCAGGTGTGTCGGAGAGTGGAAGAATTTCGGCGAGGCTGTTGCCGACGATTCCGGTGACTCCGAGGATTAGGGCAACGCTCTGGTATTTGGGTGGAGCGTCGTCCTCATCGAGCTTTTTCTGTGTAAATTAATCGATTCTGAATTTAGTAATCAATTGTAAAGTAGATGAATTGATATTGAGATGAAAGTTGATTACCTTTGCAGCTCCAATTGCTCCGGCCCACCACCAGCTCATCGTGTAGATGGGAAATGGATCTCCGACGGATAATGGATGTAAGGAACAGGGTGGAGAAGGCTGTGGAAGGGAGCTGGCAACAGAGTGTTTTTATACAAGACTTATGACGACTATTCTGTATTCAGTAAGATCAACATCAGATGCTTATTTATTTATTTATTTATTTATTTTTTATTGTTTATACGATTTGGAGGATAAGTTGCCTGTAAATAGAAAATGATTTGTATTTTTTTAGAAAATGGACTAATTTTGGTATAAAAATTAACTAACAATTAAAACTCATTAATCTTAATAAGATGTAATCTATACAAATTTAGGTAGTATACTATGTAAATAACAAATAATTCTTTTTATTTTTCTCGGACAACTAACAATTCAAAGTGTTCAACAAAATGGTAAACTCCATATAAACGGCCCAAGTCAATCCACATTGAAACTTACTTATATTTACGCTGGTTGCTTCATTTATAAAAACGGTCTTTCAACTCAAGTTGAATGATCTTAAGCTAATTTCACCCATTTTTATGATGATTTGTTTCTTCTGAACTGTGACATTGTTATTCATTGTGTTCAAGATCAAACTCCTCTTATATAAGTGTATATTTGGTAATACTTGACATTTATTAGACCAGGCTATAAACCCTTTGGCATTCATGGTACTTTTAGAAACACCAAAATGATCGGTTACACTAAATTTCCAACAAATGATATAAAACATGAACTACAAGTTATACTAATTCACTACCCTTATTTTAAGCATCGACATCTTTTTATATAAGGCAATTTCATCAGAAAGAGACAATTATTCATTTCCAATCTCACACTATCTTCTCTCTCTCTTTTTTTTTTTTTTTTTTTTTTTTTTTTTTTTTTTTTTTTTTGGACGAGAACGTCATGCACTATCAATTAGCCATCTCCACCCTCCTATTGATAGTGGTTGATATCCCTCCTTTGATGACATTCAAATCACCATCTTCTTACCACTACAAGACTAGAAAACACATTTTGATTACCATATTTAGTATCCAATCCAGAAATATAAAGAGTAATCGTTATTGCAAGTAAATGAAGTAATTTATTATTTGGTAAATTAAGAAGAAAACATCAAAATATAACCATATTATTCATGAAGTTTCTTTATTTATTTTTGGATTGTGACGTATGTAACAAAGGTGAAAGCTAATTCCTCTCTAAATATCGAGTTAAAATTAATTGTTGGCATGACAACTTTCAATTCAATTTTTTTTTTATTAAAAGATTTATAATTAAAAGATATAGCTTCTTCTAGGGACTTCAAGTGGAAAAGATAAATTTGAAGAGAAAAACACGTGTACGACACGTCAAAGACATAAAGTCGCTTGTTTTACGAGAAAATGTCACGATGATGAAGGAAATCACCACATGTGTTAGAACTCACCGTTGTTATCAACTAATGTACAAGATGTGGGTCCTGCCGTGAGAGCACTTCTCCGTCGGCCGGATTTCCAACGAGAATAAATAAGTCAACGGATGACATTGTGGGACTGGGATGGTCCAAAAAGCCGAATAAGTCATGTGAGACCGTGGAAACTAGAAAGTACTAGCTTTATGTTTTTACATATGTTTGGTTTCGTATTGAAAATATTCATTGAAGTAATAAGTTCTAATTTATATTTATCTACAGTTAAAATGAAATAAAAATATTTTCTACAAAAAAATGAACATTATCTTCAAATAAAGATGATATTCTTAACTAGGGGCGAAACCATCAATTTTTTAAGGATGTTCTTCAAAAATTAATTAGAAAACAAATATATATTTTCAAAGAGAAGAGATTTGTACACAATAATTTTCTCCGTACACAATAATTTTCTCCATACACAACAATTGGTGCTTTAAAATGTTGTAATATTGTAATTTAAATCACTCATTTGTTCTATTTACTTGTGTGCACCTCCCTCCGCCTCACTCGTCCCCTCATCGGAAACCTCTTTCATCTACTGTCATTAAGCTCATTTCCTCCATAATCTCTAAACGTTCCATCCTCGTATTCTCGTTTCTCCTCTAATAACCACCATTTCTTCTTTGGAAGACGATCCCCTCACCAAAAAAACGATTGATTTGATTTCCGAATTGTGTTGGTCAAGTGATTCTTCAATATACAACGAGTTTTTTGCTAGGGTTTCAGATCCCGATTATCTTTTGGTTCCTTATTTTGGAGCAAGCGTCGAATATATTTGGTAATTGTCCTTTATTCTTTACACATATTTGTTCTTATGAGTTTTGAATGACGTCAAATACATACTTGCTGGATGATTAGTGATTCTTGTTGTTCTTGTTCCTTCATTACTCTTTCATTTGGGGTAATTAACTTCTATCTTGTTTCATATAATCTCATAGACATTACGACAACTTACAGATTTATTTATGAACACCAAGTGTTCGATGAAATGCCTCAATGAAAAAACCTCCATAAATAGATCAAGAATAAGGTGGTGTATTTATTCTTGCAGTCTGTAGGTGCTTGTTGATGGTTTTTTTTTTTTTTTTTTTTTTTTTTTTTTTTTTTTTTGCTAAAACAACATCATTTTGATGTCTCTGTTTAATTTGCCTTTGTTTTTTGCTAGACTTCATTTCCCCTAACATATTCAACAACTTGAATGTTTGGTTGTTGAGATTATAAACTGCATTTTATATTCTTGCATAGTTTCCCCAAACATATTTTTATATCTTTTTTTTAATTTGCCTCTGTGTAGGACTCGAAAGAGGTGACTTAAAGAGCTTAATGGGTTAAGTTGACAACTTAACCCTAATAAGTATGAAAGTGACATTCTATTTGAAAATCCTTAACTTTGAACCCTTAGGTTAAATTGAATTTCACATCTCTATAGCCTAATAAGTAATTAACAATCATATTAAAAGTGATAAAATTAAGGCTTAACCATTAATTCCTTAACAGAACACGATAAATGATATGATCAATTTTCCCAAATCTGTCCTCCAACTTCTAAAATCCGTGCAAGTAAATATGAACATCTAAAAATCATGAGACTTAGTTTTTTGGAAATATTAGTGTGTCTACTTTCTTCAAACTTTGAATTACATTTTGAAATTCCAACTCCTTGAGGGGAAAAATTGGCAATCTTCTCAGGCTGGTCCATGCTATCATAGATTTCATGCACTGTCTTCAAAAAATCACAATAAATTCATCAGAGCTCCAAATGCCAAAATTCCAAAGCCTATAGTTAGATATGGATGTATAGTTTCCAAAATATAAAGGGAATGATGTAATTCTTAGTATATTGATACAGGTTATTCCAAGAGTGTTGAGTGGTCCAGAATGTGACAGCTAAAAGTTACCAACTTGTAAATTTAATATAAAATTAGCGAAAAATCATTAGAATGGGATCTTTATATTTCTGAAAAGATAAAATGGGGAACTTTACCAATATAATTTTATCAAAATTTAATAATGGGTTGAAAGGTAAGAAAACATATCCCAAATAGAGGACTACAATCAAAGAGAAAATAAGGAAATATGTACATAAGTTTATAAGATTATTACAACAAACACAAGCTAAATAATGGTATAATTTTTGTGTAGGTTCTCGGAAAGGATCAATATTGCTCATGCTAACTAATTTTCAAGATCAAGGAGGTGAGTACTAACTCTCATATTATCTAGGCATTACTTGTTTTATGTTATTGTTCACGGATACCGTAATAACATGTGATTATGTGTATCTAATCACATATAATTTATGTAGCTAAGATTCTTTTATGCGTTCTCGATTCAGTAACTGGTTTTTTCACTTTAATCATATATGATTAAATACATTTAATCAGATGTGATTATATGTTTCTAATCACATATGATTTTATTAGCAAAAAACAAATCTTGTCTATTTAAATCATATGTGATTAGATACATACAATCACATGTAATTATATACAAGATAAAAAAATATTGAACAAAGAACACGAAAAAAATCTTTATCCAAATTAATATGTGTGATTAAATACATATAATCACATGTGATTATATAAATCTAATCTCATATGATTTATGTGGACATAATTCATTTTTGCTTTGCTGATTCAATATATAGTTGTTCTCATGTATTTTCTCACATGTGATTATATGTATAATCGTATGTGATTAAGTACATGAGCACACCTATTGAATCGAGAAGGAAAAAATGAATATTGTCCACCTTAAATCATATGTGATTATATACATATAATCACGTGTGATTAATTACACAAAAGAAATTATTCAATCGAAGCCGCAAAAATAAATATTGTCTACATAAATCATATCTGATTAAATACATATAATCACATGTAATGATATGTATCAAATCATATATGTTTTATATGGATGAGATTCATTGTCACATTCTTGATTCAATAATTATTCTTTTTCCACTGTAATCATATGTGATTAAATACATATAATCATATGTGATCATAAGTATCTAGTCACAGATGATTTATACGGCAACAAAATAATGAGGTCTAAATAATCATATGTGATTAGATACATATAATCACATATGGTTATATGTATAAGAACAACTATTGAATCGAGAACACAAGGCTAAATATTGTCCACATATATCATATCTGATTAAATGCATATAATCACACGTGATTATATATGTATAATCACATAGAATTTATGTGGAAAATATTTATTTTTGCATTCTTAATTCAGTTGTTGTTCTTGTGTGCTTAATTACATAAGATTATATGCATATAATTAGATATGATTTCTATGGACAATATTCATTTTCACATTCTTGTTCAATAGTTGTTCTTATACATTTAGTCACATATGATTTCTGTACACATGATTCATTTTCACGTTTTTGATTAAATAGTTTTTCTTTTTCCACATTAATCATATGTGATTAATACATACAATCACATATAATTAAATACATAAGAAAAAAATATTGAATCATGACTATTATCAATATAAATCATATACGATTTGATACATATAATCACATGTGATTAAGTACATGAGTACAACAATTAAATTGAGAAAGAAATAATGAATCTTATCCATATAAATCACATGTGATTAAACACATATAATCACATGTGATTAAATATATTAGAACAATTATTGAATCGACGCAAGAATAAATATTTTCCATAAGAATCATATGTTGTTAAATAAATATAATCACATGTGATTAAATACACAAGAACAACTATTGAATCAACACGTGAAAACAAATATTGTCCATGTAAATCATATGTGATTAAAATACATATAATCACATGTGATTTAACTACACGATGCCTATTAAAATCGAAACATTTGAAAATAAAACACGAACCACGTAAATAATATTTTATTAAATACATAT